ACTCTTTCCAAAACCTCTGAGCAGCCCTCTGTTAGCATTAGCCTGTTGTCAGTGTGTGTTCGGGACAGACTAAACAGAAGGTGTATGATCTAAGGTTTATCAGCACTCATTAGCAGAGAGGGACAGCTACACCATTCGTCCACCTGGGCACAATCACCACGGGTGTTATTGTTATGGAAAAGGACAACTGTAGTTCTGTGTCTCACCGGCATACTTGTTTTCATACTTGTTTTCATACTTGTCCTGCAGTTGTGTCATTGGTATAAACAGCAAATAATAATGATCATCACCTGATGAGGTCAGGGCCACACCCACATCAGGACCACATGAACGCTAATCTGTAACTCTAAGGATGAAGCAGTGACCGTGAGAGCGAGAGAGAGGCAGCATCAGACTACAAGCTCTAAATATAGAGATGTGACCAACATCCAGCCAGTTAACAAGAGGCGAGACGACTGAGTTTCCTTAACAGCAGCAGAAGCAACGACTCTGCTGTGTGGTGGTTGTGTTCTTCTACTGAGGTTCTGCAGGGGAGTCCAACACTAATGTCCCCACTGGGACAAATAAAGCAGATCTTCAACAGCTCCCCCTGCTGAAAACCGTCTTTACCACAGTCTGATGACATTTCACATTAAGAATGTCACACGTAGCAAAGATGCAGTCAAGTTCACTCAGAGCTGAAACATATCACGGCACAGTCTGGTGATCTGTGGCTGGCAGAAGAGCAGGTCAGAGGTCATGTTGGTGTTAGCACCTGAGGGGGAAACCACATTTATCATCAGGGCCGGCACTAAAATGGGTTCAAAGTACCAGCTGAGCTGCAGACAAAGCCTTAGAAGTGCAGCTCTGACAAAAGGCTGAGGCCCTTCAGGTGTCTGAATCCAACACACAGCAGCTGGGATGCGCTCACAGCTGTTACCATGGCAACGGGATGAAAAGGCTCAGATCCGCTATTTTGTTCCTCGTCTGTGTTGGCTGAATGTGGATCAGAACAGTCCCATGTGGAGTCCTCACATGGGCCAGATCACCATGGACACAGCAGAGGGAAGTGAACATGTTCATGTGGCTGCAGGAAACTGACTTAGACACAAACCATCTTGCATGTTGATCCCCTCAGCAGCTCTCAGTTTGGCTTGTTTTCTCAGTCACACACCGTGCACATACAGGACCATACACGTCTCCTCACAGTGTTAAAGGTGGCGCACAGATCTGGACATGCCTCTGATGAGTGTCAGCTCGGGGCTTCCACCGCCTAGACTCTGCTGCTTGGACCCCATTTTGTGGTGTTTTAGTGAGAGAACCAAGCTGTAAAAGCAAAAACAGGATTTTGAAAGGGAAACAGGTCCCACCCATCCCCAGTGGAATTTACAACCTTGTTTGTCTTTTAAAATGGAGCGCGACCTTTAAAAGGAAGCCTGGACAAAACCAAATGAGACAAAACCGACATCAGCAGCGCATTAGGATCAAACATCGCTCTGATGTCAAAGTGAGAGCTGCTGAGATCTGACAGTGTCACAGGTAACTGAGTGCACCTGTGCAGATATTTCTGCAGAAAGCTGAGGGACAAATGCTGGAAATGAAGTGCAGTTGCCATGGTGACGGGCATGAGCCTCACACGCAGTCCTCTTTGCCTCCCTCCAGCTGACAGCAGGCCCCTCCCTGCTCCTGGCTTCCATGGAGCCCTCTGTTGGTTTCCTCTCCCCCCACTGATTAAATCAGTAGCACCTCAGGGAGAGACAGGCTGTTTGCTGCAATGAGACCATTTGCCAGTGGCACAACATTTAGCTGAGAGGGCAGATCAGGCCTGCCAAGTCCTGGATGATGTCCCATAATGTCTCCAGAGAGCATGACGGAGAGAAACTGCTTTGACAGCGTTTGGTTTGAGGTTGACACAGCACAGGTTTCTGTGAGCCAAACATCACTAGGTTTGTGCCAACACTTCAGTCTCAGAGAAAAGGAGCTGCATCAGTGCTGGACATCCACAGAGACCAATACCTAGTCCTGGGACTCAGCTGGACTTCAAACATCCCAGAAACCAGTCCACAGTCATGTCAGCAGCTCAGTGAGCCCAAATGCTAACGTCAACATGCTAACATGCTGATGTTATGCAGGCAAAATGTTCACCTCACCATCCTGGTTTAGCATCTAAGCATGCTAACATTAGCTACTCAGCAGTGTCCGGCTGAGGCTGACCTCATTAATTCTCCTGCTATTTGGCCATAAATGTCGACCTGGTGGTGGCACTAGAGGAAAAGTCAGTTATCACAGTCTAAACAATGTTTCATCACAACTCATCTGACAGCTGTCCAGATGTTTCAGTCTGAACTGAATCAATGGCGCGAACGAGTTCCCAGCAGCAGACAAGCTCAGTGTCTTCCTGGAACTTCTGCATGGACGTTTCAGTTAATTCAGCCAAATAATCTTGCAACAACAGACAGTGAGTGAAGAGACATTCTGAGTCTAACATGTTCACTCACTGCTTCCTACATGATTCACAGCAGAAACACACCACTCGGCCTCAGGATCATTCATCATCATGCAGCTACACAGGTCAAAGGTCACTGATGAGGCGATATCACACTCTTACCAATCACCATCTTGCATCAGCACAGGTAGCTGAGAGACACCACATCCTGTCCCACTGTCACAGAGAAAACTTGAGAGACTTTGGACATTTTTGATCCAAAAGTGACTAAAGGTGTCAGAACAGTTCTAATACTAATCAATTACTGATACAACATGTAAAAATATGCTTCAACTGATGCTGAACTGGTGAAGTACTGGGGTTGTTAAACACAGGTGTTTGCAAAGCCAGAGCTGAAAACACCTGATGTGACATTTGACACTGTGGGTTTGTCTGGCTGCTGAAACCAGTCATTGACTTTTTCCTGGCGGTTCAACCGTTTCCACCGCAGCAGCATCCTCTGCCATGCATTTATGCAAATCATCAGAAAATAATATTTCTGTAAAACCACAGTGCATGTTGACATCCTGGGTCTGTGGCCACACAGCGCCTTCAGACAGATCACCTGAGGCCAACAGCAGGTCCTGTTCAGGAATCTTGTCCCTACAGACTGAAGAGTGACAGGCAAGAAAGCAGAGCAAAGACCATTTTTAATGGTCTTTATTGCTCCTGTCATCAATCTCCTGTTCAGACTCAGTGTGTTAGTCCTTCTCAGCTCCAATCCCATTGGTTCGTGCTCAAAATGCACATCTTTAAAAACACCTCACAGATATTTTGTTTCACCTTTAAAAACAGTTTCCTAAAGCAGCTACTCGATGTTGAGACAAGCTGTCGGACGTTAAGACAAAAGAACAGAGCAGATATTCATAGAAAACTACATGACAAAGTAACAATACTTCACCTCCAGCAATGAAAACATGAAAATACAACATAAACATGGATTCATCGGTTATAGAAATACAATGTAGATACTATGATGACACCTATGTAGGGTACCTCTACATCCTGGCTGCAGTAATCACAACAGCACAGGAGAGCTGGATGGCAAAATGTAATCAGACTGACTGCAAAGCACTGGCAGTACTAGTAGAAATACTGCAGTGTTGAGCCTGAGTTAGACGTCCAGCACTCTCTATTCTGGGTGAGCTAGTGTGTTGAATCTGTTGTTTTGGTTGATACTGTTTTACATTAATTGCATGAGGTTGTCTATTGTTGATTTGCTTCAGGCTGTGCTGCTGGGACGCCCGTGAAACACTTTGACTTGCAAACAAACAAAAAGTACTTAGAGTACCAAATGTAACATTATGCAGAATGGTGTACATTGTTGGACCGTGACAGTGTAAATGTGGGGCTAATTATTACACTTGGGGGGGGTTGATCAATAAGCATGCGCTTCTTCATAACATTCATTTTAGATCTGTAAAATACTACAGCCGTCAGATAAATGCAGTACAGTACAATGCTCCTCTCTGTAATGAGCTGCAGCATAAAGGAGCCTACAATGAAAATACTCAGGTGCATGTACCTCAGAAATGAACGTAGAGTAGTTGGCGAACGGTCAGTTACTACCCGCCACCGGTAGGACCCCGCTGGTGATACTAACACACGCTGTGCTGCTACTGGTTGTAATATTTGTACAGTACCACTGCACATCTACAGTTTTACACAACAAATTCACTCTTACCTGTGAGTATTCTGCAGTCTTCATTCACGTCCGCTGGCGTACAACACGGACCGGTACTGTCCGGTGCCCGTACGTCTGTCCCTCCGGAGCACCAGTCAAGTTCACTGCATTTAAACGAGGCACCACCGGAAGTAACAGGCAGTGACCTGCAAAATAAAGGCGTGCTGCATGCGGAGAAAAGCTACACAAAAGAGTTACATGCAGGAAAATCTAAAAAGTTATCATTACGTGTTGGAAAGTAAATCCAACGGCTACACAGAGACACTAAGCAAGTAAAAAATGGATGCAAAGAGGTGCACAATGAGCACAGGGAGACAATGGTTGTAAAGAGGTGCACAATGAGGCTATGGCAAGACGCAAAATGATTGACATGCAAAACAATTTCATAAACCAAAATAAAACACCGAGATGAAGCAAATCCCTAAAAAGAAATGAGAGACAAACAAGTTCAGAGATGCTCTCGGCCGCTACTAGATCCAAAATGATTAAAATGAGACTAAACAACAGGACCAGAACGGCGTGCACGGAGCCACAGACCGGAGCCAGGTGAGAAAAGAGGGTTTGAGTGAACTGACCCTTTAATCAGAAGGCTGCAGCAGCCATCCACACTACATCAGACCATGGTGCTGACCGAGGGTGGCTCCTTTACCGCCATTACCCAGCCTCTTCCTTGCTAACGTACAGTCTGTGGAAAACAAACTGGACGAGCTAAGGGCTAGGATTACAGCACAACGGGACATCAGAGAATGCTGTGCTCTCACCAAGACCTGGCTTTCTGACAGAGTTCCAGACTCAGCGATTCAGCTACAAACACACACTGTACATCGAAGCGATCACACTGCTGCTTCAGGGAAGGTAAAGGGAGGTGGTGTGTGTGTTTATCAATAACTCCTGGTGTGGAGATGTACGGACTGTTTATAAGCACTGTTCGCCAGACAGAGTTTTTATTGCTGAAATGCTGGCCCTACTATCTAGTGTTGAGTAAAATTATTAACGAAGTCATACTCTAGGATTGGTTCTAACATTTGATTGAAGTAAGTGCTTATTTAGTAGAAGATTGACGACATGACTGTTGTTCATTTAACCTGTGTGTTCACTTTGTGCATAACTATTCTATCATATTAGAAAAGGAATAGTTAAGATTATATTTTAGAGATACACAAGTTCACATACTTGCATGTCACAGATATGTTTATGAAGTTACTATTCACCACATTATATGTTCACTAACATGATGAGAAAATAAGTTACTGTATGCATACTGAAAAACTCTGTGTGATATTACAGGCCCATGAGATTAAAAGTGTGGTGCACTGAGTAGCTCTCCAAGGTCTCATCATCTCACATTCCATTAGATTTATTGCCTTTTCTCCACAAGAGCTCATTATTCCCTCTGAGCTTAGAGGCCAGGGGAGTTAGGGTTTGATAAGATACTAAGATTCACACCAAAGTTACAATCAGAATTTGGCCTAGAAGAAACAGCTGCCTGGTAAAATAGCTATTTTCATATACATACACACAGACAGTGTCAGATCTTCCTTCCTCTCTAGGAAAACTGTCTTCCTACATTGGAGCAGGAGGGACCTGGATGGACGGACTGAGGGACAAATGAAACGGCACGAGAGGCATCAGATCAACCTACTTTGCACATTTCAAAATGTATAAGAAATTGGGTTACCAGGAGGGTAGGCGTTCCCTCTCGTCCTGAAGACGAGTTGAACGGCTTTGCTGTTGAGGGTCAGGGCTTCAGATAGAGACGGAACCCAGAGCTCTGTAGTTGCTTTTCTTTAACATTGTAATAAATATTTTAAAGTTTGTTCTGACTTCGACTCTTCCTCAGAAACGAAGATGCAGAACGGTTAATTCCAACAGAACGCAGCTATAGTTTAGTTTTCCCACAAAGTGAAAGTGTGGGACAGAACAATAAATCCTTTTGAATTAGAAGTCTGAACTAAAATGTGTCCTGAGGGTGGAGCTAGAGCGAAGATCATGGGGTCAATAAAATCAAATAATCCTTATCATGAGGGAGAGCCCTCCACTGGAAACAGGCTACTAAACCCTCTATAAATGGTGCTTAACCAGAAAGTGGTACCTATGAATGAAGCAGGGTTAGAGCTGAATTTGTGCTGGATTTCATTCCAATCTAAAAATCAAAATACATTAACGTTAGTTCATCAAAATTCAAGCTTCTAATCTTAAATGGCACATTAGCCTGCTATTGTGGGCATGCTGATCACATGCATGTCTGTTACGTCACATTTATATGTTTGATATTTCAACATTTTTTTATTATTAACTGCAATCACATTGCAAATTACATTTATTCCGTACGACAGATTTGCTAATGCCACATCAAGCTTGAAAACCTGGGGATAACAGCTTCACAGACGACATGCTTCGCCCTCATGTACTTCTGGCTGACTTTGGTTATGTGATGAGCTCACACTGCTTCGATTTGATTGGGCCATTAGTGTGGCTGTCACA